CGATCTAGCACCCGCCGACCTGGAACCCGCCGACCTAGCACCCGCCGACCTAGCACCCGCCAACCTAGCGCCCGCCGACCTAGCACCAACCGACCTAGTACCCGCCGACCTAGAACCCGCCGACCTAGTACCCACCGACCTAGCACCCGCCGACCTGGAACCCGCCGACCTAGCGCCCGCCGACCTAGCACCCGCCGACCTAGCACCCGCCGACCTAGCACCCACCGACCTAGCACCCGCCGACCTGAAACCCACCGACCAAGCACCCGCCGACCTGGCACCCGCCGACCTAGCACCCGCCGACCTAGCACCCGCCGACCTAGCGCCCACCGACCTAGCACCAACCGACCTAGCGCCCGCCGACCTGGCACCCGCCGACCTAGCACCCGCCGACCTAGCACCCGCCAACCTAGCACCCGCCGACCTAGCACCAACCGACCTAGCACCCGCCGACCTAGAACCCGCCGACCTAGTACCCACCGACCTAGCACCCGCCGTCCTGGCACCCGCCGACCTGGCACCCGCCGACCTAGCACCCGCCGACCTAGCGCCCGCCGACCTGGCACTCGCCGACCTGGCACCCGCCGACCTGGCACCCACCGACAACGCACCCACCGACCTAGCACCCGCCAACCTAGCGCCCGCCGACCTAGCACCAACCGACCTGGCACCCGCCGACCTGGAACCCGCCGACCTAGCACCCACCGACCTAGCACCCGCCGACCTAGCACCCGCCGACCTAGTACCCACCGACCTAGCACCCGCCGTCCTGGCACCCGCCGACATGGCATCCGCCGACCTAGCGCCCGCCGACCTGGCACTCGCCAACCTGGCAACCGCCGACCTGGCACCCGCCGACCTGGCACCCGCCGACCTGGCACCCGCCGACCTAGCACCCACCGACCTAGCACCCGCCGACCTAGCACCCACAGACCTAGCGCCCGCCAACCTGAAACCCACCGACCAAGCACCCGCCGACCTGGCACCCGCCGACCTAGCAGCCGCCGACCTAGCACCCGCCGACCTAGCGCCCACCGACCTAGCACCCACCGACCTAGCACCCGCCGACCTGGCACCCGCCGACCTGGCACCCGCCGACCTAGCACCCGCCGACCTAGCGCCCGCCGACCTGGCACTCGCCGACCTGGCACCCGCCGACCTGGCACCCACCGACAACGCACCCACCGACCTAGCACCCGCCAACCTAGCGCCCGCCGACCTAGCACCAACCGACCTAGCACCCGCCGACCTGGAACCCGCCGACCTAGCACCAACCGACCTAGCACCCGCCGACCTAGAACCCGCCGACCTAGTACCCACCGACCTAGCACCCGCCGTCCTGGCACCCGCCGACATGGCACCCGCCGACCTAGCGCCCGCCGACCTGGCACCCGCCGACCTGGCAACCGCCGACCTGGCACCCGCCGACCTGGCACCCGCCGACCTGGCACCCGCCGACCTAGCACCCACCGACCTAGCACCCGCCGACCTAGCACCCACAGACCTAGCGCCCGCCAACCTGAAACCCACCGACCAAGCACCCGCCGACCTGGCACCCGCCGACCTAGCAGCCGCCGACCTAGCACCCGCCGACCTACCGCCCACCGACCTAGCACCCACCGACCTAGCGCCCGCCGACCTGGCACCCGCCGACCTGGCACCCGCCGACCTAGCACCCGCCGACCTAGCGCCCGCCGACCTGGCACTCGCCGACCTGGCACCCGCCGACCTGGCACCCACCGACAACGCACCCACCGACCTAGCACCCGCCAACCTAGCGCCAGCCGACCTAGCACCAACCGACCTAGCACCCGCCGACCTGGAACCCGCCGACCTAGCACCAACCGACCTAGCACCCGCCGACCTAGAACCCGCCGACCTAGCACCCACCGACCTAGCACCCGCCGTCCTGGCACCCGCCGACATGGCACCCGCCGACCTAGCGCCCGCCGACCTGGCACTCGCCGACCTGGCAACCGCCGACCTAGCGCCCACCGACCTAGCACCAACCGACCTAGCGCCCGCCGACCTGGCACCCGCCGACCTGGCACCCGCCGACCTAGCTCCCGCCGACCTAGCACCCGCCGACCTAGCACCCGCCGACCTAGCACCCGCCGACCTGGAACCCGCCGACCTAGCACCCGCCGACCTAGCACCCGCCAACCTAGCGCCCGCCGACCTAGCACCAACCGACCTAGTACCCGCCGACCTAGAACCCGCCGACCTAGTACCCACCGACCTAGCACCCGCCGTCCTGGCACCCGCCGACATGGCACCCGCCAACCTAGCACCCGCCGACCTAGCACCCGCCGACCTAGCACCAACCGATCTAGCACCCGCCGACCTGGAACCCGCCGACCTAGCACCCGCCGACCTAGCACCAACCGATCTAGCACCCGCCGACCTGGAACCCGCCGACCTAGCACCCGGCGACCTAGCACCCGCCGACCTAGCGCCCGCCGACCTAGCACCAACCGACCTAGTACCCGCCGACCTAGAACCCGCCGACCTAGTACCCACCGACCTAGCACCCGCCGACCTGAAACCCGCCGACCTAGCGCCCGCCGACCTAGCACCCGCCGACCTAGCACCCGCCGACCTAGCACCCACAGACCTAGCGCCCGCCGACCTGGCACCCGCCGACCTAGCACCCGCCGACCTAGCGCCCACCGACCTAGCACCAACCGACCTAGCGCCCGCCGACCTGGCACCCGCCGACCTAGCACCCGCCGACCTAGCACCCGCCGACCTAGCACCCGCCGACCTAGCACCAACCGACCTAGCACCCGCCGACCTAGAACCCGCCGACCTAGTACCCACCGACCTAGCACCCGCCGTCCTGGCACCCGCCGACCTGGCACCCGCCGACCTAGCACCCGCCGACCTAGCGCCCGCCGACCTGGCACCCGCCGACCTGGCACCCGCCGACCTGGCACCCACCGATAACGCACCCACCGACCTAGCACCCGCCAACCTAGCGCCCGCCGACCTAGCACCAACCGACCTGGCACCCGCCGACCTGGAACCCGCCGACCTAGCACCAACCGACCTAGCACCCGCCGACCTAGAACCCGCCGACCTAGTACCCACCGACCTAGCACCCGCCGACCTGGCACCCGCCGACCTGGCACCCGCCGACCTAGCGCCCGCCGACCTGGCACCCGCCGACCTGGCACCCGCCGACCTGGCACCCGCCGACCTGGCACCCGCCGACCTGGCACCCGCCGACCTGGCACCCGCCGACCTAGCACCCACCGACCTAGCACCCGCCGACCTAGCACCCACAGACCTAGCGCCCGCCAACCTGAAACCCACCGACCAAGCACCCGCCGACCTGGCACCCGCCGACCTAGCAGCCGCCGACCTAGCACCCGCCGACCTAGCGCCCACCGACCTAGCACCAACCGACCTAGCGCCCGCCGACCTGGCACCCGCCGACCTGGCACCCGCCGACCTAGCACCCGCCGACCTAGCGCCCGCCGACCTGGCACCCGCCGACCTGGCACCCGCCGACCTGGCACCCACCGACAACGCACCCACCGACCTAGCACCCGCCAACCTAGCGCCCGCCGACCTAGCACCAACCGACCTAGCACCCGCCGACCTGGAACCCGCCGACCTAGCACCAACCGACCTAGCACCCGCCGACCTAGAACCCGCCGACCTAGTACCCACCGACCTAGCACCCGCCGTCCTGGCACCCGCCGACATGGCACCCGCCGACCTAGCGCCCGCCGACCTGGCACTCGCCGACCTGGCAACCGCCGACCTGGCACCCGCCGACCTGGCACCCGCCGACATGGCACCCGCCGACCTAGCACCCACCGACCTAGCACCCGCCGACCTAGCACCCACAGACCTAGCGCCCGCCAACCTGAAACCCACCGACCAAGCACCCGCCGACCTGGCACCCGCCGACCTAGCAGCCGCCGACCTAGCACCCGCCGACCTAGCGCCCACCGACCTAGCACCAACCGACCTAGCGCCCGCCGACCTGGCACCCGCCGACCTGGCACCCGCCGACCTAGCTCCCGCCGACCTAGCACCCGCCGACCTAGCACCCGCCGACCTAGCACCCGCCGACCTGGAACCCGCCGACCTAGCACCCGCCGACCTAGCACCCGCCAACCTAGCGCCCGCCGACCTAGCACCAACCGACCTAGTACCCGCCGACCTAGAACCCGCCGACCCAGTACCCACCGACCTAGCACCCGCCGTCCTGGCACCCGCCGACATGGCACCCGCCGACCTAGCACCCGCCGACCTAGCGCCCGCCGACCTGGCACCCACCGACCTGGCACCCGGCGACCTAGCACCCACCGACCTAGCACCCGCCGACCTAGCACCCGCCGACCTAGCACCCGCCGACCTGGCACCCGCCGACCAGGCACCCGCCGACCTAGCACCCGCCGACCTGGCACCCGCCGACCTAGCACCCGCCGACCTAGTACCCGCCGACTTAGCACCCGCCGACCTAGCACCCGCCGACCTAGCACCCGCCGACCTAGCACTCGCCGACCTAGCACCCGCCGACCTAGCACCCGCCGACCTAGCACCCACCGACCTAGCGCCCGCCGACCTGGCACCCGCCGACCTAGCACCCACCGACCTAGCACCCGCCGACCAAGCACCCGCCGACCTAGCGCCCACCGACCTAGCGCCCGCCGACCTGACACCCGCCGACCTGGCACCCGCCGACCTGGCACCCGCCGACCTAGCACCCGCCGACCTAGCACCCGCCGACCTAGCACCCGCCGACCTAGCACCCGCTGACCTAGCACCCGCCGACCTAGCACCCACCGACCTGGCACCCGCCGACCTAGCACCCACCGACCGTGTTCCCCAGGTGCTGTCATGTCACGGTTAGATTGTGTGGTTTGGAGGCACGATGTAAACAAATGCGGTGTTTTTGTGCAAGATGCGAACCGGGTTTTACTTATTGATTGATCTGGTTCCGAATGCGCGTGTGTTACAGACAAGCAAGCCCCCCCAGCCCCCCCCCCAGCCCAGGGCAGCTCAAAGTAGCAGCCGGCGGCGGCGCCCTTTACCGGTCCTGACAGAAGAGCGGATGCCTCCCTCTGCTCTGCTCGCATTGTGCTTGCGCGCCAATCGGAGCATGACGGCACCTAACAGCATGGGCCTCCCCCATGCAAAGTGCATCATAACATAACAGGCCAAACACCACCATTCCACCAATCAAAATCCTATTACATACCTCGTCCTTTACACATAGATAACACAGTCGTTCGGGCCTTTAAAACGCGGTGTCCCGCGTGGTATGTGCTGAGGAGGATGAAGAAAACGCAGCGGAGGGCGCAAACGACCCATGGGTCATCAGCCTGGGTTCACACATTACCCGGATACAAACACCCCTGACATGCAACCACCAACAACAAACACCAAGACGAAATGCATGCAGCACGCAATCTATATCCTTCTTCCACGTAATCTATCCTTTCTTCCACGCCTTTAACACCAACAACAATTGAACAACAGGCTTTGAATGGCATCTGTGCGCGCCACAAAACACTGACAAACATTTTGACAAACACACACAACGCAAAAACAATAGCACTATCATCCGACCACACTCGTTCACTAAATGAAGGCGAAGCTCATCTTTCGCGAAAGGAAACACACACAGAAGGGAAGAGGGCCCTGATACCGTATCAAGGGTCCTGATACCGTATCAAGCGCGCCGGCACAGCATTCCTGCACACCGCCTCTCGCAACACAACAACTCCAGACGACAAATGTTCTGATTGCACAGACCACAGCGTTCCTCCTGTTTAACAAAACCCAACCACGTCCACCACAGACGCAGCGAAACTGCCTGTTCATTAAGACACCTCCGTGCAACAGCAGCCGGCGCGAACATCATAGCAACTGCTGCTGGGGCGTGGCAGTTGCCGCCGCAGCAATCGAGGATACACGTGCATACGCGGCTACAGCTGCATGTTGGGCGCCGGTCCTGGTCCCGCTCCTCCACCACCTCCTGCTGCTGCTGCTGCTCCGGCCTCCCCCCGGGCTGCCAGGGCCCCCAGATACTCCGCCGTGTAGGCATGGAGCCGCTCCCACACCTGCAGGGAGCAGCAGCAGCAGGCGGGGGAAGAGGGTGAGAAAGCGAGGGTGTGGTGTGTGTTGGGTTGGGCGTATGCACAGTAGGGAGGATAGGGGACGCAAGCGGGAAGGGCATGGGAGCATGGAGACGAGCAGGGAATGGAGGCTGTGGAGGGAGTGAACGAGGGTGAGGGGGCAGGTGCGGGCCATACCCTCCTTGTAAGCGGCCCAAACAAGCCCACTCACGACAACCTACCCTGCCCCAGACAACCGCTCTTCCCCTCCTCCTCACCTGCTCTATCAACAGCGGTTCATGTCCTCCTGCCCCGCCTCCTGCCGCTGCGGCGCCGCCTTCTCCTCCCATGCCTCCTCCTCCTCCCGGCCCTAAGAAACCCGCAGCCGCCATCGCATCCTCTCCCGCCCTGCCTTCCCCCATGCCCATCCCCTGCACCTCCTGCAAACCCATGCCCCCCATCCCCATCCCCCCCATCCCCGCCAGCCCCCCCGCACACCCCCCGCTGGCCTCCCTCCACGCCAGCAGCCGCATCACCGCCTGCCAGTGCACCAGTGCCGCCACCACGATGAGGATGTGGAAGATCTGGTGGCCGTGAAGCCACACGTCGAAGCGGCCCGGCAGCCAGCGCTCGGGCACACGGGTGGCGTAGATGAGGGCGCCGGCCTGGGGGGTGAGGAGGGGAGGGGGAGGGGGTGCATGGGAAGGGAGACGGGCTGGGTTTGAGAAGGGTGTTATTTGCCGAGGGTCATGGGTCGGGCCCTGGGAGGTGCAGCAGGCGCGTGAAGCACCTGACACACGCCCCATGCGCGTATGCCGGCGTGCATACCTCTTGAGCTGCCCCCCGGACGCAGCTACCAACCCTCCCTTCCCCCTCCCCCCACCCACCAGGTACAGCGCCCCCATGAGTGCGTCCAGCGCGGTCGCCTGCCGCACCGCCGCCACCTCCCGCAGCGCCACACATGCGTGCAGCAGCGGCACCGCGCCCCACCCGCCCAGCGCTGCGAACATGCCGGCGCGGAAGGCGCGCCACTCGGCGCGTTGGAACACGTCCAGCAGCGACACGGCAACCGCGCCGGCGCCTGGGGGGAGGGCGGGAGGGAGGGAGGTGGGGAGGAGCGGCAGACGTGGGCTGGGCAGGGCTGGCGGTGACGGGCAAGGCAGGGTTGGTGGTGATGAGGGCGGAGAGGAGGGTGGTGAGGGGCATTGTGTGCAGGGACAGGGGCGGATACAGGCCTTCGTGCAGGATGCGGGGGCAGATGCAGGCAAGGGTGGTGTAGCAGGGGCGGGATGCTGGCTCCTGCTCTCACCCATGAGGGTTGTGGTGGTGAGGTAGAAGATGCGCCAGTAGGGCTGGCACAGGAACTCGTAGTAGACGGGAGGGTAGAAGGAGGCGACGATGAGAATGGCTATGCCGGCGTAGTCAAACCGCCAGATGATTTGCGCGAGATGCTTGGAGCAACAGCCGAAGAGGTGGCACACGGCTGAGAGGAATAGGCAGGTCATAGCTCCAGCCATAAAGACGTAAACAGGCCATCGGGGTATCGGCCATAAGAGGACGTCGGATAGGGCTTCTCGGAGTGCGTCATTGAGGCGCTCTCGCGCATGATGGATGTTGTCGCTGAGGCTGTGCACGCGGTTGTGCAGCGCTTGGGCCGCCTGGTGGACTTCCTCCTGAACGTCATGGACTAGCGAGTCTACGTTGTGGACGAGAGTGTCTAGGCTTTCTTGCAGCTGGTGCAAGTTGGCTATGCCGGTTAAATGCGGCAGCCGACCTTGCAGGTTGTGCAATTGGTCGGTAAGGCCGTGCACGCGACCCCGCACGGAGAGCCAGAGGTGGTCTATCTGCCGCTTGCCAAGCGCGAGCGGCATGGGGGGCATTGCGATGACGTAGAATGTTAGCCCAGCGAAAAGCAGGAAGCCTGCAGCACACGTCAAGCAATTAGTACAGCTTGATCGTTCGCGAAAGATACAATCAACTTATAGCCTTACCCAGCAAGTGCGTCCACACATTTCCCGTCTCGTTGTGGATGCCGAAGAGCGACCCTAACGTCTGTTTGAAGGGCATTTTGGGATTGCGGTAGTATGATTTGATAAACTCATTATCTTGTAAGTAATCCGGCATGTCGTTGAACTGCAGCGTCCCCGCATCCACGGTAGTCCCTGCTGCCGGGCGCCTTCTCCGCAGCGGTGCATTTCGGCTAGCCTCTACTGCTGCCCGAGAGGATTCCTTCACTCCATGTTCACTGGGTAGACTGGGCATGTTGCTAAAATATCCTAACTCTTACTCAATTAGCTTGCAGTTGACGCATACTTCATAGAAGTGTCTGCTTTACAGTTGTAAACTCGGTGGAAATCTAGTGCGTGAACAGCTAAAACGCTTTAACCTTAACTTCCACGAAGCCAGGTCAACGTCGAGCATTGTCGTACAGGTTCGATGACCCCTGGGCCCACCTGTCGTCTAGTCATTCGACGCCTCCCAGGATCGGGGTATTTTTACAAAAGGATTCGCGCGTATCCTTTAGGGCATAAAGCGGCGAGTTAAAATGCTATGCCACATGACACCATTGCTATGTTGTCCGTGCCGATACTGGTGCAATGTGCGAACTACCCTTCTAAAACAAGCACAAGAAGCTTGGAGTAATTCCCTTGCCGTGTATAGTCAATGAGTGGAAGTGATTGTTCCAGAGGTTCCCCATAGTGCCGTGAGACGAACAGTGTCTTCACCTGTGTCCTACAACTGTCGTGGACCACCGTGCGTTGTCCATGCCCTCCCTTGTGTATCAGCAGCAAGTACGGACCACCAGCTCTGATCCTCCCCAACCCTCCCCAACCCGCCTGCCATCTTGCGGTCACATGCGGTCTATTTACAATGCCTAACACGGGCGGAAGGCCCGCACGCATCGCTACAGTTAGTCCTTGCTATGCCTTTTGTCAGCCCAGCAATTAGTAGCTTCATCGCCCGTATTCTCTTGTAGGGAAACCATGGCAACGGTCATCTACCGGTATTGAGGTTGACAGGCAAAATCTAAACAGAAACGACCAACAAACCAACCCCTACTGCACGGCAGTAACTACATGCAAGCGAGTGTTTCCAGCTCAACCAAGCAGCGTTGTAACGTCCAGGTTGCAATTGTTCCGCTCGTCCTTGGGTCCACTAATGAGCCGCCGGCAGCAGCGACAACAGCAACGGCACCAGGGAGGGTGCAGCGGCGGCGGCACCAGCGTTTTTTTTTTTCGTTTTCGAGGGGGTATTTTTTATCGCTGCTAGAGCGATAGAAATCGGGCCTGGGCAACCGCTTATCGCTTTCCCAACCAGCCAAGCCGAGGGGTTTCGGGGCTTATCGCTTCCTAAGGCGGCCTCCTGGGGTCACACGTGCCCATTGAACCCAATGCAGAGGCCCCAGTGCCCTCTTGGACCCAAATCCCTAGCATGTAGAGGGTCTGGCACGGGGGGTGTGAGCGATGAGTTACCCTGGGCACAGACACCTTATCGCTTTCTCACGGCCCTAGGACCAATTATTTATCGCTCAAAAAGCGATATATCGCTCAAAAAAAAATCACTGGGCGGCACTGCCCGGAAGTGCTAGAGCAAACGACACCGCCACTACGACCCGCATACTTCGGATACTTGTGAATGTACGGCATAACATGTGTAACGCTAACGTGCGCAAACCTGCGCTTCCCTTTTGACCGCACGAGGAGCGAGGTACCTTTGATACGACGAGGTTTCGAAGTTCCGAGGCGAACCGCACATACCGTACATTTCCCAGCACGTATTTCCGTACTGCACCTGAAAGCAACCAACTCGAGCAACATGCTTGCTTTGAAGCCAACCGACATATGCCGTAGTTTTGCGTCAAAACGGAAGCCGAAGTGGCCCGATGATTTATTGGATTTGAACTATTGGGTGTTTTTTTAACTCTGCTCAACCGAACCTTAGCATGGCTGTTGCATGCCTATTTAGTTGTCTATCGACCCTCCTACCTGCCAAACCACCGAGCAGCCATCAACAATCAAGTACCAAGCGATAACTAGCCCTGACAAAACAAAAGTCTATGTACAATTCCTCCGTCCCACGTACAACCGCCGCCCAACTGCAAAGAAAATGACCCGTGCACAGACATTACGAATGCTGCAGCGGCTAGCTGCAAGGTTAATAGGACTGCAGGGGCTGCATGGGCGCCTGCTGCTGCATGGGCGGCTGCAGCTACACGGCCTGCTGCTACATGGGGCGGCTACGGGGCCTGCTGCTGCATGGGCGGCTGCAGCGGCAGGAAATCCCGCTTGAATACGCCCTCCGCCTCCCCGGGCAGCGGGGTGCGGTACATCACAACATCCGTCATGTGACCCTGGGGGGCGGGTGCAGGGTTGGAGGCAGGGACAGGCGAGGGAGACCGGAGGCGGAGAGGTGATGGAAGGGTGGAGGCGGCCGGCAGCGGGTGGCGGGCGGCGGGGTAAAGAGAAAAACACTAACCCACCTTATGGTGGCGGGGTTACAGTCAGGGCAAGGCAGTGGGATGGCAGCGGTTGCAACGTGAAGCGACCCTACCAGCGGTGACAGCCCGTACACGTCCATGCTGCTCCACACCAGCGGCAGCACCCCGCCGCCTCCGCCCTCCAGCCCGCCACCACCCCCACCAGCACCAGCCCCAACCCCAGCCGCCTCCCCGCCCTCTCCCGCCTCCAACAGCTCCCCGGCTGCCTGACCAAAAGGAGTAGCAGAGGCAGCAGCAGCAGCGGCGGCGGCGGCGGGGTAAGCGGCGCCGGCACCCGCCATACCCGCTGCGGTTGCAGGGGCTGCGGGCGAGGCAGGCGCTGCGGGGGCTGCGTGAAGGGTGGTGGTGGTGTTGCGGGGTCGTGCCGCGGCCTCCCAGGCGCAGAAGGCCACTCGGGCCTGTCGGTCCACCGCCCAGCTGCCCCGCCGCACCCTGGGAGGGGGTTAATTTGGTTGGAAGGTTCCGCATTAAGCTGGAATTTAGGATTGCGCATAGTCATATCGTTGGGTTAGTAGCAGCACACAAAGTACAAACCGTGATAAAACTCTGGGGGGGGGGGGGAGAGGGAGGGGGTGATGTGTTTCAGGTGGGGGCGGGTGTGTGTGTGTGTGATCACGGACTGTAAGTGGTATAGAAGGAGGAGGAAGCAAGTGCTCCCTGCTAAAGCCTTCGCATCGCTCCTACTCTTCCTCAAGAGGCTCAAGGAAAACGTTTGCCTCCTGCCTGCCATCATGTAAACCCTCTGTTATACGGCTCATGTAGTACGGTTTATATGTCGTACAGTTCATGTTGTACGGCTCATACGTCTTAAAGCGCATGTCGTACCTTATGTCGTACTCGGCATGCAGCTGCTGCAGCTGCTCCAACACATGCTCCCTGGGGCGGGGGTTGGGGTGGGTGTGTTGAGGGTGGGTGGGTTTAGGGAGGGAGGGGGGCAGCAGCAGCGGAGCGACGTTGGGATAGCAAACGTCATACCCGCATACCAGCAGCAGCACATTGCTCCACCCCTACCCCCACCTCCGCCCCTCCACCTCCTCCTCCTCCCCCCCTACCTTCCCCTCGCCCCGCTCATCCGCCTCCACAGCCCCAGCGCCTCCCACAGCGCCAGTCCCTCCTCCGTGCACCCGAACACGTCCCGCACGCCGCTGTAGCTGCTGTCCACCAGACCCAGCCAGGTGGCCACGGAGCGACCCGCCTGCGCCTCGAAGTCGGGCACTGCGGGGGCAACGTCGGAGTTGGAGGAGGAGGAGAGGGGCGAGGAGGTTGCACCGAGGGACATGTCGGCTACCGCCGCTGCTGTGTTGTCTAGGGCGAGGTTAGTTGCGGGGAGGTGTTGCTGTTGTTTGTCGTCGGTTGGGGCTGCCGGGAGGGCAGTGGTGGTGGTGGTGGTGGTGATGGTGGAGGGAGGTGGCTGGTGCAGGTCTTGGGGGCCGGCGGGTGCGGCAGCTGCAGTGGTAACTGCAACCAAACAGAGGGTGGGTGGGAGGGGGTACGGTGACTCGGCGAGGCCTGCATGACGCAGGTGCGCGCAGCACCAGCAGTACCGGTGATGAGCGCAGACGCGGAGCTAACTACGGTAGCTACTAGCTAGCTAGCTAGCTACTTAAGGTAGAAGTAAATAGCCAGCGGTCCATGCAGGGGTCAGACGGACTGCCTGGTCCCTGCAGCACAGCACAGCACAGCACTGCACCGCATGCACACCCTCACAGCATGCCGCCAGACCACACCCCACTCAGCCGCCACCACCACTCCCCACTCAGCCGCCACCACCACACCCCACCTGCATACGCCGCCTGAAGCTGCGCCGCGGCGCCCTCCCCCTGCTGCGGCCGCCGTAATCCCCCCTCCCCCGCCGCCTCCGCCGCCTCCGCCACCCCCGCCACCCGACTCATCAACCGCTGTACGAACGGAAGCGCCGTCAGGTCGGGAGCACCGCGGCGCCGCTGACGTCGCGGCGGCGGCTGCCGTACATCACCGCCGCCGCCGCTGCTGCCACCTGCCTCCGCCGCCGCCGGCGGAGCCGGCACCGGAGGCGGCACTGCCGACGTGTCAATATCCATCATCGCCTCCGTCGTCGCCGCCACCGCCGCCAGCACCTCCTGCTGCTGCTGCTGCCTTCGCTGCACCTCCGCATTCCAACCTGCTCCCGCTCCTGCTGCTGCTGCTGGCTGCTGCTGCTGCGGCGGCGGCGGAGGCATCACCCCGGCTTCCATCCTCTCCTCTCCTCCCGCCTCCATCCCTCCCTCCGCCTCCTCCTCTTCCTCCCCCTCCAGCAGCATGAGCGCCCGCATCTCGCTGAACAGCTGGTACCGCGCCCACACCTGCGTCACCCGGCCCGAGGGGTCCAGCAGCAGCCGGTGCAGCGTCAGGCTGCGACTGGTGCTGCGTTGGAGGAGGGGGAAAGGGGGGGGAGGGGGAGAGGGGGAGATGGGGGGGGTAAACATGGGCGTGCACATGGGCAGGCACCGCACTACCAGGGCGGAGATAGGGACCTAGCTCGCCCCATCGCTCCCTCCCTCCCACATGCACCCCTCCTCTCCCTGCCCCCTCACCGGTTCGTGGGTTGCAGTGCCCCCAGCAGCGGCCCCACGTTGCGCGCCCCCTCGTCCACCCACATGAACACCTGCCCGCCAGCGGGGGGGGCGGCGGAGGACAGCAGCGTCATGTGCCACTGGTCGTAGGCCTGGGGGCGGGGGAGAGGGGGGGGGGGGAGGGGGGGGGAAATAATCTCTCGCTGGCTGCAGGTTTGTCATGGAAACTTGCTGCTGAATGCTGCTGAATGCTGCTGATGATGACGATGAAGAAGAAGTATCGGTAACCCCAGTTCCCTTTCTTCCAGCATGTGGTTTCCTTTCCTTCTACATG